TGTCTATGCAACCTCAGGTGAGAAGAAATTTTATGTGGGCTGAAACAGCTTATGAGATTTGGGAACAAGCCAAGTCAACCTATTTTGAATTGAGACACTATGCAAAAATCTATCAGTTACAGGTAGAATCCTCTACTTACAAACAAGGGGAGAGGAGTCTCTCTGTGTACTACTCAAGACTTGTCTTCCATCTGGAAAGAGTTGGATCACTATCCAAGGGTAGATTGGAAGTGTGATGAAGATGCCAAAGCATATAAGTCTCTTGTTTCACAGCAGAGGGCCTCTACCTTCCTCCTTGGCCTGAACCCTATATATGAATCCATTAGAGTGCAGATCCTTGGCAGCAAGGATCTCTCATCTGTCCAAGAGGTATGTTCTCTAGTACAGTCAAAAGAAAGTAGAAGAAATCTGATGAATAATTCTAGGGGAATGCAATTGTGTTGGCAACAAAAGGAAGTGTTGTTACAAGTGGGGGAAATCCCTTTAAGAAGGAAGACTCTCAAAAAAGGGTGGATGACAAAGAAATATTATGGTGCACCCATCGCCAGAAGTCTCGGCACACTCATGACACATGTTAGGACCTTCATGGGAAGCTGAAATGGGCTCAGGAATTGAGTCAGAAACAGGGTTAAGATCTAAATAACAAGTTAGGACAGCAAGGTTGAAGAAAATTCACTACAGCAAACATGGCTACTCAGGAGAACCAACCCCCTACTACTACTGCAGTTCAAACATACAGCTTTGGTTCTGACCCTAGGGAGGATATCATTAATTCCTTCCATGATCATTTAGAACTTTATGGTAGGGCAATTCGCCAGATGGATGCTCCTCCTCCATCAACTTCATATGCATCTACATCAGGTAATTCTACCACAACTTTCCATGTATCGTCTCATTCCTCTGACTCTCCTTGGATAATTGATTCTAGAGCATCAAAACATATGACCGGTAAGTCTACCTACTTCTAGACCTATCATCTTCTATCTGGAAGAGACAAAGTGAGACTGGCTGAGGGTTCATTCTCTACCATAGCTAGTCAAGGAACCATTTCTCTTCCTTTTGGTCCTACCCTTTCTAATGTTTTACATGTTCCTCAATTACCTATTAATTTGTTTTTTGTTAGTAGTATAACCAATTCTTTAAACTGTTCAGTAACCTTCTTCCCTTCTTATTGTGTGATTCAGGATTTGGCCTCGGGGAAGATGATTGGTAGAGGGCGTATGGTGGATGGTGTCTACCTGCTAGAGAATAAAGCTGGTCTTGTAGTCACAAAGTCTAAGAGTCAGTCTAGTAAGAGTCAAGCCTATTTATGGCACAGTCGTCTTGGTCATTTATCCTTTGATTCAATAAAGATTGTGTTTCCAGGGTTGTTTAAGTCAGTGTCAAAGTTGATATGTCAAACTTGTCAGTTGAGTAAACATTGTAGAACTCATTTTTCTTCAAAGAATAATAAATCTGAATTTCCTTTTCATATTGTTCACTCTGATGTTTGGGGCCCAATTACTTTACCATCTAAAAGTGTCAGTGGCTATAAGTATTTTATTACCATTATTGATAACTATTCCAGGTACACATGGGTATATCCCATGCGAACTAGGGATGAAGTACAAAAAATTATCCAAGATTTCCAAAGAATGATTTTCACCCAATTTCAAACAGAAATCCAAATCTTCCAATCTGATAATGCCAAAGAATACCTCCATAATAATCTTACGGAGTTCTTTGCTTCACATGGATCACTCCACCGTAGCTCCTATGCCCGAACACCACAACAAAATGTTGTTGCTGAAAGAAAGAACCGCCATCTTCTTGAAGTAGCTCGGGGATATTGATTCATATGAATGTCCTCAAACATTTTTGGCTTGAAGCTATCCTTTGTGTTGCCTATCTCATTAGTTGCATGCCCTTCGGTGGTTAGAGTACAAAGCCCCACATCAACTTTTGTTTCCCAAGGCTCCTCTTTTGTCTATTCCTCTCTGTGTTTTTGGTTGTCGTTGCTTTGTTCAAAACATGTCACCCACTCGTGGGAAATTGGATCCCCGTGCTATTCATTGCATATTCTTGGGGTACCCTACAAATCAAAAGGGGTACTGGTGCTTTGGGCCCGTCTCTCAGAAATATCATGTTTCCATGGATTTCTCCTTGTTTGAGAGTGAACCTTTTCTTTCCTGTTTCTCCTCAGGGGGAGTGTAGGCATGAGGACAAATAGGTTCAGAATCATCCTCTACCTTAGATTCAGCTCCCTCCTCTACTTTATCCTCCTCCCTTTCGTGTTTTCTGTCATCATCATAAAGGCCAGCCAAGTTCAAGATCTATGGAGCATCTAGAAGTTGTACCACCAATGCCATCAAATTCTCCAGGGACGGATCCTACCCAGCTTGGTACCTTAGTTCCCATTGATATTCCTGACCCTATTGCTATTGATGCCTCCAGTGCTGATGATCTTGACCTTCCTATTGCTCATCGGAAGGGTGTTAGGTCTTGCACCACCAAGCACCCCATTTCCCATTTTGTTTCCTATGAAAACATTTCACCTTCCTTTCGGGCATTCCTCTCTTCCATTAACAGTGTTCCTATTCCTAAAAATGTGGTAGAAGCTCTCTCGATGCCGGAATGGATAGATGCAATGAAGGAAGAAATTAATGCATTACATAAAAATGGTACATGGGAATTGGTGGATTTTCCTGAGGGAAAAGAACCAGTTGAATGTAAATGAATATTTACAATGAAACATAGGGCTGATGAAACGGTGGAAAGGTATATAAAGCTTGTCTAGTGGCAAAAGGGTTCACTCAAGTGTATGGGGTGGATTATGCAGAAACATTTGCACTAGTTGCTAAGATGAACTCCATTGGGGTTCTCTTCTCTTTAGTTGCTAACTTCGATTGGGACCTTCACCAATTAAACATCAAGAATGCATTTCTAAATGGTGATCTAGAAGAAGAAGTGTACATGGTACAACTCCCTGGTTTCCGGGCTCAAGGTAATGAACAAAAGGTATGCAGGTTAAAAAATAATCATTATATGGCCTGAAATAATCGCCAAGAGTTGTACAAGAAAAGGGCTACAAGCAATGTCAATCTGATCATACATTGTTTGTGAAAAGAGGGGAAGGGAAAATTGCAGCCCTAACAGTGTATGTTGATGATATAGTTATCACTGGTGATTGGAAGATGAAATTCAAAGATTGAAGGGATTTCTTGCTACTCGGTTTGAGGTGAAAGATCTAGGTCCTTTGAGATACTTCCCTGGAATTGAAGTTGCCTACTCACAAAAGGGTATCTTCATTTCTTAGAGAAAGTATGTCCTAGATTTGTTACAGGATACGGGAAAATTGGGAGTGAAACCCGTTGATTCTCCTATTGATCCTAATCACAAATTAAGTGATTGTCCAAGTGAATTCATCAAAGATGTTAAGCAATTTCAGAGGTTTGTAGGAAGACTGCTATATCTCTCCATGACTCGACCAGACATTGCTTATGTAGTGGGTGTTCTTAGTCAGTTCATGCATGCCCCTAAGACCACCCCACCTTGAAGCGGCTGAAAGTATTCTCAAATATCTAAAGAAATTCCTAGGTGCAGGCATGTTGTTCCAAAAGCACGAGCATTTGAAGGTTGAAGTGTATACTGATGCAAATTAGGTAGGATCACTGGATGATAGGAAGTCTACCAACAGCTATTGTAACTTTGTGGGAGGAAACCTAGTCACTTGGAGAAGCAAAAAGAAAAATGTGGTGGCTAGATCTAGTGCTAAAGCTGAATATAGAGCAATGTCTCATGGAGTGGTTGAAATAATGTGGCTAACAAATCTATCGAGTGAGCTAGGACAGTTGATGGACCTATGACTTTATATTGTGACAACAAGGCAGCCATAAACATTGCTGCTAACCCAGTGTTGCATGATAGAACCAAGCACATTGAGGTAGACAAACATTTTATCAAAGAAAAAGTTGTCAAAGGGGAAGTCTGCACCCCCTATGTCAGGCCCGAAGATCAACTTGCAAACATCTTCACAAAAGGGTTACATCATTTGCGGCACAATGATCTATGTGACAAATTGGGCATGATTAACATCTGTGTCCCAACTTGAGGGGGAGTGTTAAAAGGCTGTTTATAAGTTGCTTTCTTTGTTTTTTTTTTCTTCTGCTAGTGTCACAGGGGTACTATTGCAATTTCCCTCTTTATGTTATGTATTTGTTGTCCTAATATAAATACCAAAAAGCTGGCGCCGCCAGCAACACTTCTTGCTCTCATATCTCTCTTTTCTCCTCTCTCTTTCTCCCTTCTCTCTTCTCTTTACTTCAGCTTCTGGACAAGACAAATCAAGGTTAAGTTTCAGACTAGCAAGCTGAGGGCTTTGTGGGGGTGTTTGTAGCTTGCCAAGGGCCCATTTCAGCCACCTAAATAGCCAGTGTTTGGGTGAGCCCTGCATCATGTGGAGTCTTAATGCGCTAAAGTTGCCTGGAACAGCCTAGGCATTCTCTAGATTGTTCCATATGTATATCTTATGCACAAAGTGTATAAAAGTGTGTTGAGATGGTTGTCTCTAGATAAGGTCTAGAATCTTCCTTTTAAGGTCATGGTAGCATAGAGTTCTAGAAAATTCTTGCAAGTAGGTGGACTACCCTATTAATAAGGGTCATCACCTCCCCCATTTGTAACCATCTGAGTTATCAAGCTCTAAGTCCTTGTAAGCTTTTATTAAGTGAAATACAAGTTTGCTTTCCTAGTATCACTAAGTGTGATCTTCTGTGCCTTAAGTTTCTCAGCATATGAGCTTAACTAGCAAAGATCTTCCTGGGAGAGTTTAGGCTGACTATTCTTGTAGGACAAGAGTGCCACATGACTCAGCCAAGAGCATGATCAGGCCATGACATAGGCACACTAAAGCACATAATGTATTCTTTCTTTGTTCATACTCAATAAAGTCAACTGTTACCAATCAAAAAGCAAAATCTCAGCCTGGTTCAGAAACCATCAGAAAATTTAGGTAAGCTTACCTTTCGAGCTGCATCCATCATCCATTGCCTCAAGTTCTGGATTGTCACGCTCAATTGCTACTGCATTTTCTGAACCTTTTAGGCTGCTATCTGCATGAGATCTTTCCATATTTTTTAGTCCTGTGCCAAATAAATCAATCAGTGTTTATATAGATAAAATTTCTCAACTGTAATACATCATCCCCACTCATAAAAATATCACTTACTGTTAGTCATTTTGAGTAGTTTGATTAACTTTGAGTTGAACCAGAGTTAATGATGACAATATAAAAATTTTACAGAATCTAAGCTATTAATTTGTAAAAGAGAATTCATGCATGTTGAAGATACAGACATATGAAAAGAAAAGTAAAGTAAAAATTCCCTGAGGCACATGCCAGAGGTGTTGATTCCTCTGAGGTGTACACCTCAGGCCTCATATGAAAAGAAAGAAAAGTAAAAAAAAGGAAAGGAAATGAAAGGGAGTGAAAGAAAAGGAAAGAGAAGAGAAGAAAAAAAGGGAAAGGGAAGAAAAGGGAAAAAGAAAGTTTGAGAGGCTTACGCATCTTCATTCTTCTAAATAATAAAATATTTTTCATAAAAATGAAACAAAAAGAAGAGATCCTCTTCCTCTTCCTCCTCTTTAGGAGGTTTATGCCTCCTTGTGCTCGGGAGGTTTACACCTCTTACGTTTTAAACTACGCCTGATGCCTCCAGGTAGTGGAATGCCTCATGTCACACCTGTGTTTTAAAACATTGGCCGGACATGAATGAAGGCTTTTGATAAGAAACTTATGGATGTTGCAAACTGTAATGGCTTCTTGAAAGATTAAGAAAGAAAGAAGAAAGAAAAAGAAAAGAAGCCTAGTAATCACTCTAGGCATGGGAATCACTCACCATAGGTAGCATAAGTTGTAGGAACTTAAATAAACTTCACTCCTTGTGTAAAATGTCCAAACATATGCATAGACCATAGATGAATCAAAACTAGAAAGTTCAAAAATAGAAGCTTATTAAATTACCACTATCCTAGTCAATTCAAAGAATTAATGACTTGTTAGCTACTTAGTTAATAACTCTGAAACTTTAAACATAACTAAACTATGACTAGAAAAATCAAACTAATAAGCCAGACCCCACAGACACATGTTAAAATGACCAAATACCCCAACTGTCCAAAAATACAGAAATACATAAAAAATCAGAGCATTCATCAATCAGCCAACCCTTTGTTGAATTTCCTATGCCCTCCTCAACATAAACCTTCATATCTGATATTCCAATTGCAATATATGAAAAATCACCTTCAATCTCTAGCATAGCAATCACCATCTCAATGTGTTGAATCGACTTCATTTTTCCAATGAACTCCAAGATTGATTTCATCATTGTAATTGGTGAAATTCCTTCTATAAACTCAACTTGCAACTTTTGAATAGATTGAATTTCTATAGAAAATTCATTGTCTGCTTCTTCACAAATCTCTTCTACCATATCCAATTAAGCTATGATATGTTCCTCAATGATTTCAATTGGTTGTAAGTTAGAATCCTCAAGTTGAATACCTAAACTCTTATTTTCAGCTCCAACACAAACATCTTCAGTAGGAGATTCTTCCATTACAACCAACGCATCAACATCTTGTACCTTAAATTCTTCAAGTTGCTCAACCACAACCACTACATCTTGAACATGAAGCTCAAGCTGATCATGAGTGTTGGAACATTCTTCTTCAGCGATTTCAATACAAAATAGATCATCATCTCGAATTCCAACATCTAAAGTTTCTCTAGAATGAAGTTTTGGTTCCTTGGCTTCATTCCTATCTTTAAAATCAGTGTATGCATGATATCCAAAATCTCAAAATCATCAGCTACCAAAAAAAAGAGTTCTTCGAATCCCTTTCCACCTCAATGGCTAGTTGAAAAGCATCTTTATATATATATATATATATATAGTTCTAATTCCCTTTTAATGTCTGTCCTTAGACCATTCTTAAAACAAATCAACCTCTACCTGACATCTTTGACTATATACTTCAAACGGTTAACTCTTCTAATATTTCCATGAACTCCTTTACAGACAAGTGTTCTTTTTGTTTTTTTTTTCATAAATTACAGACAAGTGTTCTTGTTTAAAAGAGAGCACCCCTTAGATCAGTTTGGAAAACAATACATATACATTTTTCCAATAACTTCCTTTTCATCTCTTCCCATGTAATAATATGTTGCTAACCTGTGCATCTGAAACAATCTTCCATGTTTCTCCACCAGAATTTCACATTATCCACCAATTTACTAAGTGCAATTCTAACTCTTTGATCATTAGGCATATCATATTGATCAAAATATTCTCCAATGCAACTAACCAATCAAAGAAGATTTGTTGGTGGTAATCTCCCTTAAAATCTGGTATTCCCTTCCTTGTGTTGTTGAAAACATTTCCCATGTAGACATTATCAGATCTGGATTCTTCCATAATCTTCTCAAACAACTCAACCAAAGACTCTTGATAGGGTTCAGAAAATTGAATGCCATTGATTCCATGCCCATAGGAATATTTGCTTCAAATCCATATGGATATAATTGGTTACAAGACATACTAGGCCTCTTGGATTGGTCACTTTGTGAGAACATTGTGACTAACCATAAGTTCCAATACCAACTAATGTTAGGGGTGCTCACGGTTTGGTTAACCAAACCATGGGCACATATTTGAAACCAAACAGGTCCCTTCGGTTTTTGAAAAGTGCCAAACTGAAACCAAACCAAATCAGTCGGTTAACCAATCAACCAGTTAGCCAGTTGACCGGTTCGGTTTTTCAGCTTTTTATATTAATATAAGGATAAAATATAAAGACCTCCCTGAGGTTTCATTTTAACAAAAACCTCCCCTGTAGTTAAAAAAAAGTACAGTTACCTGCCTTCCATTATTGTCTCAGTTTCATTACCAAAAATAAACATTATTATCTCAACAAAAGAGATTTGGAAGTTACAAAATTGCCCTTACTACTTGTTAGGGCATCTTTCAATATGATCAAAAGGCCAGATCTGCCCTTTTAGACTTCACTCAATTATAATGAGTTTACAAAACAAAATTACTTAACTCTTTTTAATCTGACCTAGGAATTTTTTTAGTTAAAAATCAAAAGTTTTTTGGGAGTATTTTAAGTAAATCTCCATCTGAATTGATAGACATAAGGGTAAAATGGGTATTTTCAAAAAAACTAATGCATTAGACCAACGTTTTCTGGCTGGGACAATGATGGAAGGGAGGTAACTGCAGGATTTTTCAAAACTACAGGGGAGATTTTTATATTTTACCCTTAATATAAATACTATTAATATATTATATATTATAAATTGATAATTATAAATATAATATATAATTTAACCACCAGTTTTTCTTCTAGGTTTTCTGGTTTTTCTTGAGCACCCCTAACTGATGTAGGACAAAGGTGAATGGCTTTTGCTGAGAAACTTATGGCTGTGAAGAAGGTAATGGGCTTTTTGAAGGATTAAGAAAGAAAGAAGATAAGTCCGGGAATCACTCCTAGGGTTCCTAGAATCACTCTAGACCATGGGACCTTAAGTTGCATAAGTTGTAGGAACTCAAATAAATTTCATTCCTCCTTGTGTAAAACGTCCATATATATTATATAGACTGTAGATGACTCAAAACTAGAAACTTCAAAAATAGAAGATTAAATTACTATCCTAGTCAAAAAAATAATAATAATAACTCTGAAACTTTAAACATAACTAAACAATGACTAGACAATATTAATAAGCTGGACGCCAGATACATGTTAAAATGACCAAAATACCCCTACTTCCCAAAAATGCAGAAATACATAAAAAAGTCAAAAAGAAATCCAATTTTGACTCTTCGGCTCCTGTATCACATATCCTTTACTAGAGAGGGGAGCTAGAAAAAATCTACAAGCTGAAACCCCCGTGAGCATGGCTTAATGCACATATTGCAGATTTCAGGCTTTGGCATCTTCAGAGATTTGCTTGACTAATGTCTCTACCTCATTTAACCTCACATTTAACAAACTCTTACCTATTATAGTAGCTGCACGTTTTTTTTTTTTTTTTTGATACTTAGGCTTCAGATGATCTTACTGTATTTAGCAAGATGTTTACTCTCATTTAATTATCATAAATTTATTGGTGTTTAATAAATTTCAAAATTCAGCAGATCATCCCCTTAATGTAAGAAATCATATACAAACTAAGCACCCTTTCCATCTTTCAATTCTGCAAATCAGGCTCTTAAGGTAACTCCTTCATGCAGGACATGAATATGTAGAATTAATGTCTACAATGATGAAGGGTTAGCCTACTCATAATTACACAGCCTCCCTAATTTGAGTACTACAAACTCAATTACCTAATATAAGTGTACAACAGAAGATCCATTTATTTTCAGGATATATTCTACTCACGTAAACAACAGATCATGCAAGCAACTATTACCTTCTTTCTCCTCACCAAGTGCAGAACTTTTATTATTCGATCTTTCGACGTTGGCCCTCTGTTTTGATACTTCGCCTTTTTCTGGTTCTTCTGGTTTATCTGGCTCCGTATTGACCGACCGAGCAGAAGTGTTCGCATCATGGTGATGGATTTCAGAATTCACCTTATGACTCTCCTTTACATTTTCAGCCCAATGCCCCGGTCTGGATCCAACACCCTGTGGACCGTTCTTCTTGAAATCCTTCTCCGTGATCTTCATTTGATCGAAATGTCTCTGCTGCCTCCTCCATGCCGCCTGTTGCAATTGAAACATGACTTCCGCGACCGAGAAGTACTGTTGCATATGAAGCACAGGATTCCAATTGCATCGTCGCTGCTGGATGCAACCAATAACAACATCATACTCTCCAGGCTCGCCAATAGACCTCAGATGATGGCAAAGCGAATCAATAATGGCATTCGCCGCCGCAAATTCCCCTCTCAACCAAGAGATAAACCCATCACGTTCGTCGGGGAACCACTGTCGGTGATGGACCTCGCCGCCGCCGCCACCACCCCCGCCACTAGGAAACTGCATTTTATCTGAGATCACCACATTTCCCGATGGCGTTGCCATGAAATACAACTACCTTGATCCCATCAAAACGCACTCAGTCAGCTCAATTTTTAGATCTAAACCACCTCCGTGCACAATCAGCTCAAAAACCAATATAGTATTCGACGGTTACCAAAATCAACACTAAAACAAAGTCCGTATACAAATCAACAATAACCAAACTATCCGCAAAACAGAGCCTCCCTCGAATTATATCCAAATAACACAACTAAATCTTCAAGCAACCAAGCAGAACAACACCTTCGACACACAGTACACTACAAGTACAATCTACACCTCTTTAAGCAATTATAGTCTCCGATCACCGCAATAAATTCCTTAAATTAAATTAGAACTGCAATAATTAAAATTAAACTCAAGATAATCCGAAATATCCAGCTCTTTCTTTAACTGATCCACATTAAAAATCAACAACTAATACAAGTTTAGAGCCGAGACACGGCCGAGGATCCAGTAAGAAACAAGCAGGAATTCGGAGATTTCTCCATTAAAGAACCAAAATGCAGAAGCAAAAGAGAGCGTCGGTTCACCAGATCTGAACCGATTATAATGTCGATTAAGAGATTAAAATGGTAGAATTCAAATGTAGAACAAGGAGCTCCTGGACGATCTAGGGTTTTCAGAGAAGAAGAGAGAGTAGGAAGAGAATGGCTTATCAGGCACGCACCAGGTCTTAAATGGACGCGCTCATTGTTCTCAGGAACAGTGTGGAGTGGATCGAACGTCGAACCAGAAAGGAAGATTCTTTTGTTATATAGGGCATTTTTGGTAATTCAATTTTGATCTTCCGAGTTCCGAGAGCTTAACTCCCCCGCCTTACCCTTACCATTTCGAGTTCAGTTGTGGGGCGCCCCCCAGTGTCCCACAGCACATCTCCGCCGTGTATTGGAATCATCTCCCAATGATATCATCGAAATTGGTATTATCATTAGGAGATGTTCTCAATGCACGGCGCAGAGGCTTCTGGCTTTCCGAGGTAGGCTCGACACGGCTTCGGGCTTTTTGGAGAGCCCAAATTGACTGTCAGTCATTCATTTGAAGGGCTGTCCGCTTCGGCCTCTTGGAATAAATGATCTATCTTGAGCGCTTCAAGGCAAATCAACCAGCGTGGCTGAATCTCAGTTCAGCCCTCCCAATTCCCAAACGGTCTTTGGAACGATCGGATTGCGATTAACGGTCGGTCTGTCTGTCTCGATCCGGTTGGTGACCGGTGATAGCCAATCAGCAGCCGGTTGTAGGTCAGCAGTCAGCACTGGTTCTCCACGCGCCGCAAAAGGAAAATGAGTGTTTGGCAACAGATTCAGGTCAAACTGCAATGATGCTGGACCTGCTGGTGCAAGTTTATTCTATAATATGATATAGTTTAATAAGCTAATAACAAAAAAAAAAAAAAAAGTAATAAAGAGATGGTTAATCAGGTCGGCAGGTCGTCTCCTTGGTGACTGGGGTATATTAGACACGGAAGCTGACGTGGTAGTCTAGGGTATGCCACGTGCGCAGAGCATCATCATCTCTTCAGTTGCCAAGCTTTCTAATAGCAATAAGAATGAATGAGAAATGTTGCCAGCTGTACAAGTTTTTTTCTTTTTTTTTTACTTTTACAGTTACAAGTGCATCCTACCAGTGTTCTTACTTGGACCGGACTAAATGGATGAACCGATGATTAGGGAAGGTGTTTGGGGGGGTATGGTGTTGAATTCCTCTTTCTTTAGGAAGAGTCAATATAAGCGGCATGGTTAATTAACTTCAAACTTTTCTACCTTACAATCGGTTATATGCACATGGGGTGTTGGGGGAACGCTTTGCAATATACCCAAAACACCTCAAAGGAGTGTGAGTGGTTTTTACCAAAAATAACGCAAGGAACCAAGTCCCTTAATTGTAAATTCTTGTCATTAAAAGAAATGGGAAAGGAAAGTAGTGAAGGAGAGGAACCTAATGCCCTACTATGATGATATCATCCACATGGATGAGGATGAAAATAGAAGCATTAGATGATGAGTGTCTAATGAAGAGATGAGTTTACCTTAGATGTAGTGAAGATCAAATCAATAAGAAACTGAGATTGGCAATGATACCATGCTCTTGGAGGTTGTCGATATGATCGCCTTAAATGGGATTTTTTACTCGCCACTATGAGAAAGATGGACTTTTTTGACCATTTGTGTGAGCTGATCTATCAATGTATTTCTACAGTGGAATATAATGCCTTAATGAATACCATGGTTCAGGGGCATCCTGTCCCCATACCTTTATATCATTGATGTCCAAATTCTCTCATCTATTATTACTAAACCAGTTAATAATTAATGGTGCTTTGTAGGCCTTTAAGTTTAAAAGACAAATACCAAATCAATCTGTTTGGTTAATCACATTTTCAGCTCGGTTTTCTGAAATTTTATGAATAATATTCAAGGGAAATGGGCATGTTGTAGAGGAGGAATTAACTAATGATGAAGGTGTTGTAATTGTACGTCGGCAAACTAGAATTAGATACATTATTCAATAAAAATAAGCATGTTGATGGCAAACTTGCTCTATATCCACTAGTTAGCATTGAAGAGGAGAAATTAGCTACTAACAAAGGTGTCATAATTGTGGAAGCAACTTGTTAAAGAACAACGATGGAGCATGAGAGGCTCATCTAACAAAATATATTAGGAAGCGAGAGGAGCATGAGAGGCTGGTGGGGTCATTGCAAAGGGAAACATGGAGTCATCAAACACCACATGTTGAGAGATGTACAAAGACCTAGGGGTGATTAAGAAAAACCGAAAAACTGAATTGAAATGACGAGACTAAACCGAAAACTCTGGTTAACTGAACCAATCGGTTCAGTTTCAGTTCAATATTTTCGAAAAAACGAAGGTCTCAATTCAATTTCGGCTAACCAATATAAAAATTCGGTAGTTAACTGAACTGACCAGTATATATATTTATATATTATGTATATTATATATATTTTATATTATATATATATTTGTAATATATAATTTATTATTTATTATTTAATACTTTATATGTATTCCTAATTTTCATTATATATTTATATATTTATATATTTATATATTTATTTATAATATATTTTATAAAAATGAAAAAAAAAACCAAAAACCAATGAACCAAACTGATCAGCTGGTTAATCGATCAACTTCGGTTCAATTTTAGTTATCAGTTTTCCAAAAATCAATACTACTGGTTCGGCTTGAAAATTAGGCCCACAGCTCGATAGCACCCCTACAAATATAAGAAAGTGACTAAAAATCCAATTAAGTTGTAAGTCAACATGCATGAGAAGCACGAACAATTAAATATATGTAAAGAATGAGTATTATAATCTCTTGACAAATAAGCATGCAAGAGGGCTTTTAGGGATGAGAATGGAAGTGGACAGACAATTAATGAGAAACAAAATGGTTACAAAATTGGTAGTTTTTACCATATGACAAGTTGTAACTATAACATATATGACAAGCTGTACAAAATGTTAGTTTTCTTATTGAATGAATAGGTAAATGAGAAGCAAAAAATTGTTGACCAACTACATAACCCGAGGGGAGGTGAATTGGGTTTTCATATTTTTCAAATATGTTTATATGTTGAAGTTTCCTTGTAGGATTATGTTTGACAATAACAACAATTAATGCTTATACATGACATAGAGACTTGGAGTTGTACTTGAAATAAATGCAACAATTAATGTGTTGATAATATGGACTCTTGTTGGCGGATGGTTGAGTCTCCGAAAGTTTGGAGAAGGCAATGGGAAAGAGAAAGAACGTGGGGAAGAGAAGGGAGGAGAGAATGGAGAATCCCCTTCTAAGAAGCCTTAGGTCAATGTTATATGATCCTTTTTTTTTATGTGGAGAAGAGTTATGCCCCTTTATATAGAGAGGACCCCAAGGTTATAAGGAGAATGATCTAAAATGAGACATTTCCTATTAGGAAAGGGAATCTTTACGTCATCTATTAAGGGAGCACCATTGGGGTTTCGCCACGTGTCTCATTAAATCTCTTCAGAGCTAAGTTTCCTTTCATTTGAGGATTCTCATAATACATGTGTGCTACTTCCTTTGCGGGTCTCCTACATTGATGTGGCACAGATGATGTCAATTATGTGTCTTTCTTAGTCTTACTGATCATTTTGTCACAAGTGACATCGACTAGTCATCGTGTTTCTTCTTTTGTCGATGATCTAAGATGGCTATAAGCTCTCATCACAGGTTTAATTTGCGATGTCTTTGAGCATATCGTAGCCTCGCGATGGTTTTGTTCTCATCGCATGTCCTTGACGACTTCGAGTTTATCTACGGCTTTGGGTTTATTGCAAGTCTGCAGTGACTTTGAGGTCATCGCAAGTCCGTGTAAACTCGGAGTTCATCGCAAATGTGTACCGAGTTATGAACTCATCATGGGTATCCCTATGGCACCGTTTTAGCACCTTTTTGTGCTACCACAGTCATGTTAATCAACATGTACCTACAATATGTAAACAAATATGATTAAATGAGGATCTATCAAACTATAACCTATGAGAATTGTTAATCATAATACCCTAAAACCAATTGTATGACATTGTAGAGGAGCAATTTTGTACTATTTACATTTATCAATAAAAGGGCACTTTTATCATTCATCTTTGCAACTTTTAGTTTCATATGAATAACCCTTAGTTTATTTAAGTAAACATATTACTAAGTTAGTAACCATAACTTATTTTCTTTTGATAGCTATTCGTCTTGGATACCAGATGTAAAATAACTTTATTTCTATAGCATCATTATAATATTACCTGTTAAGTTATCAAAAAAAAGAGTAAGTTAAAAATTTTGAGATATATTTCCATTAACACTAAAATCCTAAAATGTTTCATAGTTATAGGACCATTAAGAGGACTTTGATAGTTCAGATAGACTAGTATGTACATTTTTGCCTTATGAGGTGATGAATCTTAAGTCACTAAAGACACTAAAGAAAATATTTTAGTGTCTATTAGAAAACAAGTTTACTGAACATGACCCACAATAGAACAATTACATAGAGTTACTGGTCAATAATTGTTTCTATCATCCTAGTTATACAGATAATCCTTAAACCTAAGGCATCATAGATATCTTGTGTATGGGGCATTATAGTTTGATGGTACAAATAATTATGCCCTAAATAAGGGATTTAAACATGCACGTATTAGCCATAGTATCTTATACATGGAGGTATGCGAATGCACAACATGGAATCTATCACTCTATGAGAAAACGTCTTATACAACTAAAGTTAAGACTCAGGAATCCCTTGGCCAATACAGAATAGTATATGGAAAGAGTTTCAAGTGTCACCATATGAGTCATAATCAATTCAATGGATCATATGACTAAGTCAATAGGGTTAGACTTATTCACCATGACACTTTGCTCTCTTGGGACATTGTATGATAGAAGGATTCAACTATATGGTAACTGGAGATGGAAATGTTCAAATTGCTAAATTCAAGTTGTCGGGGTAGCTATGACATACTACAGGGTGTCACTCAGTTAATGGAACCCTTGTGAGTTATGGTTGATTATTCACATTCAAGGGAGAATTAAAAGAATTCTAATTCATTTTAATCAAAAAGAGTTCTACTTGGGATGCTGAAGGAGTTGACAACATTTGTCACTACCT